GACGCCATATAGTCACCGTTCGCGGCCGGTTGATCTTGCCGCCCGGAGCTCCCATGGCTGTGCAGCTGTGTCGGCTTCCGGTCCGCGTTTCCGCCGGACGCAGGGTCCGTACGGGCCCCGCCCCTCAGTCCGAGAGCCAATCGCAACTCGGGGGCGGGGCCTGGGGCTATATAAGGGAGCTCAGTAGGCTCCTCCGCCTCTCCCCGTCGGCTACGGAGTGAGTGCTGTCTTTTTCTGGGGCTCTATGGGGAGCGCGGGAGTTCTGGGCTGGGCTTGCGGACCCTCCTTTTCTTGGCGGGGTTCGGGCGTGCGGTCCCGGTCCCCGTAATGTACGGAGGCAGAGGGAGAGGGCTCCGGCCCCCTCGGCGTCATGTCTTCGGTGCCGACGGTTGCCAGTCCGCCGGTTCTATCCTCAAGCGCCGGGACACGGGTCTCCGAGAACTGGGCGGAACCGAAGTTCCGCGGGCTCCCCCCCGGGGTGCTCATGCCTCCTCCTCTTGTTTCAGGTCTGAAGCCGCCACAGGATCCGGAGCTGTCGTATCCCCTCCTTTTCCACGTCCGTTGAAACCAATAAAGGCCAAGGCCATTGGTACCGTTTTAGGTGTGTGTCCGCGTGCTTTTTTCCGCGCTGCAGAGTTAGGTTGCACACGTTATTGCACAAAGCGGATTTTGCAAATCTCTTGAATCTCAGGCTTCTGCGGGGAGTTCGGGCGACATTGCAGCATTTCTGGATGGCGGCGCTGCGACGAACCCTCCAGGTGGCCACCCTGGCTGCGGGGACACGCCGCGCCTTGGCGGGTAGGAAAGATGGGCGGTGGGAGGCAGGGCGGTTTCTTCCTGAACCGGAGTCCAGTCTGGCTGTTAAAGGGTCAGGTCACATCGCGTTGTTTTTGCGGTGGTTGGACAGAACTCGGGTGACACATGCCTTCCGCTCGTGTCCACAGGCTCCTTGGCCGGTAGCTGCCTGGCGGACCGCTGCCTCTGGGATAAGCTCCACGCCCAGCCCCGGCCGGGCCGAGTCCCCACCTTCGACTGGTTCTTTGGGTTTGAGGAAGCCCAGGGCCTCCTCCTGCCGCTGCTGCAGGGAGCCCAGGCTGCCCGTCCACTGCGGGTGCTAGACGTGGGCTGTGGGACCTCCAGCCTGAGTGTAGGCCTCTACGCCAAGTGCCCACACCCAGTGGACGTGCTGGGGGTGGACTTCTCTCCTGTGGCCGTGGCCCACATGAACAACATCCTGGAAGGTGGCCAAGGCCAGACACCCCTGTGCCCTGGGCACCCTGCCTCCCGCCTCCGCTTCATGCAGGCTGATGCCCAGAACCTGGAGCCAGTGGCTTCCGGCTCCTTCCAGCTAGTGCTGGACAAGGGCACCTGGGATGCTGTTGCCCGAGGTGGTCTGCCTGGGGCTTACCAGCTGCTGTCCGAATGTCTGAGGGTCCTCAGCCCCCAGGGGACCCTGATTCAGTTCTCAGATGAGGACCCTGATGTGCGGCTTCCCTGCCTGGAGCAGGGATCCCCAGGGTGGAGTGTGACTGTGCAGGAGATGGGCCCTTTCAGGGGCATCACCTACTTTGCTTACCTGGTTCAAGGCTCTCATTAAAGCCATAGTCTTGACCCTAGGGTTTTTGTTGGGTGAGGAGAGATGGAGAGAGCTTTGCCTTTGCAAGATGGCTAGAGAATATGAGGATTTTAGTCCTGGCTTCCATGGTTACTAACTAGGTGCACACAGCATTGACTGCCCGTTTACTCACCAGCAAGGTAGGAATAATAACTGGATTTATGGGTATTGCATACATTGATAGCTGAAACATTTAGCAGAACCAGGCCCTTAGAGAAGATATAAGTGGATTATTCCCCACCCCCAACTAACAGGAACTTCTAAAAGCAGCAGATAAGAATTCTTTATCCAAATCCCAGCATAGACTGATGTGTGACCCGGTGGCCTAACCTCTAAGCCGGTGGTCGGCAAGCTTTCGAGCCACATGCGGCTCTTTGGCCCCTTGAGTGTGGCTCTTCCTAAGCCTCAGGAGGACCCTAATTAAGTTAATAACAATGTACCTACCTGTATAGTTTAAGTTTAAAAAATTTGGCTTTCAAAAGAAATTTCAATCGTTGTACTGTTGATATTTGGCTCTGTTGACTAATGAGTTTGCCGACCACTGCTCTAAGCTCATTTTTCTCACCTGTAGAAGGGAAAGATTGTGAAAGGACGGGCAGAAGGGCTCCATAGACAAACCTAGGTGAAATGTTGAGAGAACAAACAGTACCCTCAGCTCCTGGGCGGCCGGAGATGGTGGCTTCTGCAGACTCGAAGCCTGTTGGATCCCAGAGAGGAC